TAATTTGCCAACAGCCAGAGGCAATGACAGCAGCTCTGGAAACCTGGCTGCTGGTACTCTGGCCTGGGATAGTCAGCCCAGAAATAATTGCTTCTTTGAGTGTTTTATTGGAATGTGCACGTGCTTCCTGATTCTTTGGGGGCCATTCCCTCCCAGGGCCGCCTCCTAATGTGAGGAATGAATTAGGCCTGTGAGGCTGGTATGAGCTGTTTCAAGGACAGGGTGGAGGGTGGGTTGGCCTCAGGGACAAACCTTGTCCATCCTCCTTCCTCCGAAGCCACAGTATTCAAACAGGAGTTTGGAGAGCACATGCAATCTGTCTGTCACATCAGACCGGCCTTGTGGTCATACACTTTCTCCCAAAGTCTGCCTCACACACACACACATACACCCCACACACTGCCCTGGAAGCCCCTCGCTGTGCTGGCTGAGGGTGAGTGGCCCTGAGACCCTAGCTGAGCTCTGAAGACTGCTGTGCTCTCAGGGTCTCCCCCTGGCCACTGTCCTCAGTGCAGGATGTCTCCTCCTCCTTGCTCTGAGTAGGGAAACAGAATGTTAATGATGATGAATCCAGGTGTTCCCTAGTGTGGAGGCAGCCGGATGCATCCTAATGACACACCCTGGCTCAGTCCACCATACCTGTGACTGCACCAAGATAGCCGCCTCCTTTGTGGATGTTGTCAGATGTGAGGGGAGTGAACTCGAAGAAAGAAACAATGGAGGCGAAATGACTTTAACAAAGAAAAGGTTTCATTTATCTGCCCCAAATCTAGAGGGGTCTTCTCAAGGCCATTGAGACTATCTCCCTGGCTCCAGCCCAATCAGTGAGTGCCTGCCAGCCTCCCTCGGGATCCCATCCTACACCCCTAACTTGCTGGGCCCTTAGCTAGGTCAACAAGTATGGGGAGAGTGGCTCCAACTCCATGCAATTACTTTAGCTCTGTGCGTTAGCTGAAATCCTCTGGGGTTACAGGCCTATAAAATATATTTTCCCTAAAATAATCACCCTTCATCTAGTTTATGATATGGTCTTAAGGGACAAACATAAGGGAATGGTTGTCAGGGTGGGTGCAGAGAACCACGGCACGGGTGTTCCCTGGTGTGGGACCCAAAGACCTCCAGGCCTGGGATACTCCCGCTGCTGCTGCTCCTCGCAACTCCAGTCCTCCAGCGGGCCCACAGAAATGTTGTGCCATTTTGTTCCTTCCCCATCTTGGTTCCTAGAAAACTCCTACTCATTCTTCAAAATCCTGATTAACCATTACCTCTTCTCTGAAGCCTTCCCTGGTCTCTTTTCAGACAGAGCAGACTGCTCTCCTTTAAGTCAGCACCTCACTCTGCAAACAGCCTGATCTTGAGCAAATTACTAATTATTACGAACCCTCTGTAAAATGGGGGTAATATAGCCCTTGCAGAGTTAGGGAGGAATCAGAGATAATGAATCTTTAAAGCCTAGTCTTGTGCCTGGCACATGGTGAAGGCTCAGAAAATGACAGGTCTTGGAGCGATGACAGCAATGATCAAGCTTTTTCTGAGGTCTGTTTACACATCTGTCACGTCTACGAGATGACAGACTCCTGAGGACAAAGGCCACAGTTGAGTCATCATTGTATCCACAGCACCCTGGCGGGCTCACAGTAAGTATCCAATACAGGGTAATAAATGTCAGCATTATCACTAGGATACTTCAAATAATGCTAACTGGCCTATAGTGTGTGCTCACTGTGTGCCAGGCACTGTTCCAAGCAATTTACCAGTATTGTCTCACTTAATCTTCCCAACAATCCTAACAATCCTATAAGGTGTTAGCAGCTCCATTTTACAGAAGAGTAAACTGAAGGTTAGACAGTTTGCCTGAAGTCACACTGTAAGGAGTGAGGGATGAAGGCAGTTTCGGAACCAGGTCAGTCTGACCCCAGAGTTTTTGGACAACTCCATACTTGACTACCGAGCATGCGCTAGTCTGTATCACCATCCTCAGTCCACCTGTCTTTCTCTTCTACCTGACAACAGGGACTGGATTTGGCTTACTTATATAGTCCCTGACCCTGGCATAGATCCTGGCACCATCACCACCACCACCCCAAGTCAATGTTTCTTCGATAAGTAGATGAGAAAGGAGAGGGAGAAAGAAGGTTAAGGGCAGATGGTAGGGCTGGGGTGAGGCAAGACATCTTTTGTTTTGAAGAGCAGTGGGAGGTAAGGCCAGAAGCGGGCTGGGGAGAAGGCTGTTCACATACATTTTCAGGGGCTCCTTGCCATTCCCACTATCCCAACTTCCAACTGTGTCTAAAAGGGTGTTCCCTTGGGAACAGACTGAAGCTCCGAAGAATGTGATCTGAGGCCTCAGGCAGCGGCTCCCCATCCCCAGGACCCCGAGCCTGAGTTGTAGGGGACAGAGAGATGTTTGTGATACATGAGTGAGACAGCATTTGGGAGAAGAGGAGACAAAAGTACCCCACCATCTCTGTGCCTCAGAAAACTAGACTGTGGGGGACCAATGAGTCACCCCCCTTTCCCTGAACTCAACATTCAGGGCCTGACCTCATCAGCAAGCTTGTATCCTGAGGGAAGACAACCTTGCTGGAGGTAAGGCTCTCCTGCAAGCGAGTGGAAGGTCTCCTGTTGTCCTGTCAGCACCCTGGAGCTGGGGCAGGGCCTTGCCTGCCCATCTGACCTCAAGGCCAGGGTTGTGGGGACCTTGACCAACTATGTCCTAGCCTTCTCTGCTTCTTCAAGCTCAGCTGGTGCTAGGGAGGGAGAGGGAAATTGAATTTACATTTCTCCCCTCGATTTAAAGTCTGGGCAGCTAGTTTGACTGCTTCACTGGAATATTCTTTAATTTTGAGTTTCTTTTTCTCATTACGGCTCGCAAATTAAAATCTCTCTGCCTTGGGCAAGTGAAGGCTGAGTGAGGGACGGTTGCTGCCGCCACACATTTCTTCCTTAAGTCAATTTGCGAACACTGGCTGCTTTCTCTCCGGGCAGGTGACTGAGGGAAAAGGACAGGGCAGACTTTAGCCTCCCTCCTTCCCAGAGCAGAGGCATTAATCCTCCCTTATTCCCGCAGCCCTCACTGACCTGGCCTAATCGCAAACTAATAACACTGCGCTGTAACGCTCTTCCCTGTGCATTCTTTCCAGCTGATCCTCACAATAGCCCTGCAAGGAAGGAGAGCAGATATTCTTGTCCTTGTTTTTATTAATGAGGAAACTGAGGGCCCGGAGCATTCTACAGATGAGAGACAAAGCCCCCGAAGTCCTTGGGTGGGGGTGGTCAAAGTTGGGACCCTTCCCCTTCAGGTCTCTGCTTCTGAGAAGACAGCTGGGGCAGGCTCACCTCTTCTCATTGCCCCCAGAACACCGGCTGGGAGGCCCACTCAGGAGTGGTGGGACCTAGGGCAGCTCCTGTCCCCCTCTGAGCTTTAATTTCCTTAGGTAAAAAGGGGTTGCCCTAAATTATGCCTACAGCCACCTTGCAACACACGCACCCCAACCCCAGGGGAAGGAGAACCGCGTTCTCTGTTGCTTTGCTCCATCTCCGTGTTTCTGGCTCTGTCCTCAGGTGACATGGCGACTGCCCCGCCCTGTGTCTTTGCCTTGCTCTTCTTTTCTCTCTGCAGCTCTCTCCCTGCCTTGCTCACAGGCTCTGAGAGGGATACGGATCCACATTGGGTCTCCCAGTAGAGCTCCAGAACCCCTGCTCCGGGAGGGGCCTGGGGAAGGCAGTCTGGTGGAAGGTGGTTCCAGGGTTGCTTCAAACGCAAGCAGCGCAGTTTTCACTAAACACATCAGGAGGCGCTTGGGGCCTTCCAAGGTCTGGAGCAGGTTCATTTCACTGGGGGACACAGGATCTAGGGATGCAGGCTGGGCTGCCTCTCAAGCAGCATTGGAAACTGTGACTGCCATGTCACAAACAACAGCACCAGCCTTCTAGGGTCACCGGCTGTGACGGGAAACGGAGCTTCTTGGTCCACCTTTGCCCCCATCCCCAGCTCCCTTGAGTATCTGGTACTTTTCCACCGTCTTCTATCCCTTTTTGTGGGACTCCAGAGAACCAGGAGCCCAAGGTACCATGTGACCCTCAACCTCTCCAGTAACCTCGTGTGTTTGTTCCTGGTGTGAAATGACAGCCACTCTCACCCCCCTCTCCTCCTCCCTGCGGAGTGAGAGCGGAGGGCCAGACTGCTCTCAACCCCAAGGACCACAGAGGAAACTCCGAACCTAACCTAAACCAGCAGGAGAGACAGTCTGGGCAACCAGGGGCTTCAAGAGGCTGGTGCAGGAGGGAGCTAAGAAGGAGGGAGCGGGGAATGGGTGCTTCCTGGAGATCAAGGCTTCGGATGGCAACTCAAAATGAAAAGGAGGCTGCAGTGTTGAAAAAGGGAAAAAATCAAACAAATCTGGCATCAAATTTCAGCTCCACCTCAAGCTGTAAAATCCTAAGCAACCTCTGGCAACCTGTTTCCTCCTTCACTTTCCACAATGGTGATTATCCAGTGGTGTTGTTACAGGATTGAATGAAATAATGTACAGAAGACACGTAACAAAGTCTCTGGCATATATTAGGCACTCAGTAAATGGTTGCTATTATTTTATTATTATTATTATTATTATTATTATTATTATTATTATTATTATTATTGGTTCAGTGTTGTTGTTGATTGAGAAATTGGGGTTTGTGGACAGACTTTCTTGTTTGTAAAGACACTCAGCCACCGCACATGGTGGGAAGAAATCCCAAAACAGTGGGTCTCCACCTGAAACTTGCTGCGATCTCGTGAAAGCCCAGACTTACCTCTCTGGTGCCACGTTGTTGACTCAGAAATAAACCCAAAGGCTTTTTTCCTTGTGACAGCTCACTTTACACCGGGAACAAACAGGATCTTGGGAAATTAGAGTCACAGAGACTGGGCAGTCAAGTCTCACTCAGATAAAGGGGCCCCTGTTCTGATTCCCCAATGGCAAGGGATGATGCTCAGGCTGCCACGGAGCACGAGGGCCAGGCAGAAGGAAACAATGGTTGGGCAGGTGCCAAGGCTTTAGAAAAAAACTGAGGTCCCAAGAGAGAAACCAGAGCTGCCCTGTGAGTACTCATGCCTTCCCTTCTGTGCCTCTCACTCTTTGCTTCTTCCCCGCCCACCCCACCCCCACCCCTATCTAACAGGGCAGGCGAGACTACAGTGAAACCTCATATGGCAGATACCGGGGCTCCTCTCCCAGGGAGGTGCTTTGGCCTGTTGGGCTTCCCTCTGCATCACTAGGTCTGGGGATCCAAATATGATTGGAGAACTAGGGAAATGGGGTAGAGAGCCTAGGTTTCTGAGAAATGAGACTCTATCGCTGTCAGCTTCACCTCACCCCATCTCTCTTCTCCAATCCCAGTTTCCTATTTCTTCTTTCTCGTCTGACTGTCTCCTTTCCATTCTCTTTTCTGCATCTTCCTCCTTCTCCTTTCCTTATTCACAGGCTGGCTCTGCAAGCTTTCAACTTCTGTTCCAAGACACCCCACCCCACCCCACCCCCATCTATACAAGAGTGTCTCTCTCTTTGTTTCTTTCTCTGGTTCCTTCTCTTCTCTCTGATTACCTCACCCAGAACAGGGATTCCTGCCTTATCTGATAGAGGCTTAAAGGAGAGCGAAGCCCCAGGGTTTAGGTTCAGGCTCCTCAGGAGTGCGTGGGGGCAGGGGTTGGGATGTGTGGAAGAGGGAAGCATGAATTGGCTCCTGAGAGCATAAAGATGGTGTCGACAAATGGAACGCAGTATTGACTGGGCTCTGGGTGACTCACCAGTTCAGAGAAGGGATCTGGGAGAGTGATGTCATTGCTGAAGCTGGTGGTGACATTGGCAGCTGCACCCCACCTCTGTCCTGAGGCCTTTTCTTGCCTTGTTAGTTTGTTTTTGCCTCCCCATTACAGGGCAGTTCTGGGGAAGCGGATTTCACCATTGATGTCATTTAGAACCACAATATGGTTTTCTTAAAACCGAGATCTTCCTTCCCACATCCTTACCGCCACTTCCTCTGCCTGTCTTAGTAAATGTACTAATGTGCACGTGGGCATTCACTGTGTCACAAATGTGTGCACACTTTTTATATGTGTGTACAGCTTATGTGCATATGTGCGCACGCGCGCGCACACACACACACACACACACACACACACACACACACACACACACCCTCATACATACTCCCACTTGCCATCTGTTTCTGTCAGTAGTGGGGGAAATGTGGACTTCTAAACAATGTTAGGGGACTCTAGGGGGCTGATTCTCCCTGGGAGTGATCCGAGGAAGTACTCCTGTGTGCTCTTGTCTGCTGGCATCTTGATGCCATGTGCCTCTTGACTTCAGGGGCCACACTTGTGCCACAGTAAGCCCAGCATTTGGGTGGGTATATGTGTCCTTGAATACTGTATATGGATTTCCAACTTCATAATCATAGGGAAATTGGGAAGGCGTGAGGTTGGCAGAGAACAGGAATATGTGAAGGAGGATAATTTGAGTCGGGCTAGAGACTTTAGAAACTGACTCCAAGACAAAGGTCATCATCGTCCCCCTCTCACACGCACCCCCAAATTGACCGTATTTTCCCCTCTACATCCTGCGAAGAGAATTCAATCTAATTTGTTAACTAAGTCTCAGAAATCCAGCTTAAACTGAGACAGAGGAAGGGTACCAAATGTGTGTGTGAATATTAATGATATGTAAATCGCATGCAAATGCATTGAAAGCAAAAATAAATAGCTTGTGGATCTTGACAAAGAACAATTTAGCCTGAGGTGAAGGCAGTGGAGGAGCCACGGCCCACATAATGGGTGACTTCCAGAGTCGGGGTGGAGGATGAGCCCACTCTAGCGCTCGGGAGGTCCTGGCCTATGACACAGCGGAAATGGTTTGTTGTCGCCATAAGCAACCAACTGACAAGGTGGATTTTCAGTGAAGCTAATGAAGCTTAAGCTTCATGGCTCCCCATTTGTACAGGCCCTTTTCAAAGCCTGCACTTTATTTTATGTTTATAATTTTGCATTGTTTTTCTTAAAGAGGGCTTCCCTAGTATTTGGAACCCACAAAGCCTGGGTCCACCTTTGCAATAAAGAGTAAACTCTCTGTCCTTAATTTAATTAGCAGCCTCCTTTGAAACCCTCTCTCTCTATGAGAAATGCCCATCTGTCCCGAATGGCCTAGTATGGCATCCGGTCCTCTGGGTGGAGGAGGCCCCATGACCTTCCAGGCTGCTCCTAGCTCCAAAACTCCACAACTTTCTGCCTTGAGGCTGGTGTAGAAGGATGCAGGTAACTGCTTTGTTGTGAAAGGGAAGGTGGCCCTCTAGTCCAAACCCTGAGAACCCCAGGGAGTAAGTACCTGATGATAAATTATAATACCTTACATTTGCAGAGCCTTTGAGAGAGTTTCTAGAGGGAATGTGTCATTTGATCTTCACAACCTTGAGGCAGGGAAGAGATGTATTGTGGAGACTTATTATAGACAAGAGAACTGAGGCTCTGAGAGGTGAAATTACAATAATAATAGCTCACATTCCAGGGAAGATTACAAATGTTATTATGTATTGTGCTTCTTTAATCTGCACAACAACCCTGTGAGGGAGGTACTATTATTACCCTTGGTTTGAAAATGGGGAAACTGTACAGAGGAGTTAAATATTAACTTGCCCTAGCCTGACTAAAGAGTAGCAGATCAAGATTCAAACTCAGGCAGTCTGGCTGCCGAGTTCTTGCTCTTAATCAGTTCACTACTCAAATAACTCATGCGTGGTCTAGGCTAGAACTCAAATCCAGGTCTGTCTGGCCCCAGAGCCCTTTCTCATCACCACTTAGCAGTACCACCTCTTTCATGAACCAGGAAGTGCCAGCTGTTTGTGGCCAGGGCCCCAGTGATTGGTCCAGGGACCAGGGTCCAGCCGGGGAAGGGTGAGTACCAGTGTTGTCCCTGGGCTGATAGCTCAGGGCGGGCGGGCTGTGAACCGGCTGCAAACACAGACCTGCGAAGAGCCTGGGAGACTTCTTCCCTCCTGATCCCTCAAGAACCCAAAGACCATCTCTCCCCACACCTGCAATTCCCTGACAAATGAGATCAAGATTATGGTCAGAGGTGTATGTAGGGCGATCACCATGGCAACAAAATAAAGGATGATGGGTGAGGGAGGGGTTTAAGAGTGAGACAGTGGTGAAAATCCAGGAGAAAAGTAATGAGGTCCCAAGTGAGCCAACGGAGTTACTATGGTGTGGAGAAGAGATGTCACAGGAGTGAACCAATGAAGGGTGGGTGGGGCTGTCTTCTTCAAATGACACAGCTCACCTTCAGGCCCTGGTGGAAGAAGGTGGGGGCGGGCAATAAACAATGAGGCCTATGAGATGAGCAGCCCCTAGAAACCGCCAGAGGTGATAACATCCCATCTTCCTGCTCCCTGGGCCTCCAGTCAGGCTGGTCCCCACCAGTGTGTGTGTGTGTGTGTGTGTGTGTGTGTGTGTGTGTGTGTGTACAGAAGTGTCAGCCCTGGGCTCTGGGGCCACATCACAGGGAGGTGAGCTATGGGGAGCATCAGGGAAGTGTGATTTAGAGTCTCATTCCCACTGCCCTTCACTGTGCTGCAAGGACAGATCAATGTAATATATAATTACCACCGCCCCACAAGGCTGCACTGTATACAGAGCTCCTCACCCTCCTCCCGCACCCTCCTGCCTGCCTACAGACTATAAATCAGTTTTCAATCCTGAGTGCTACCTGTAAATGTTCAAGCTCAGGATCCTCGCCGCATATTCCTGCATCCCTGGGAGACGTTTCAGGCTCTGAGAGACCCCACTGCCCCTAGTCCTGATTCTGACATCCTTTCTATCCCTGATTGATGGTGGGAGGGGCAGCAGGGAGCTGGAATTGGCTTTAAAGCCTCTGGAGCCCTGGCTTTGGGAGTAGGGGTGGGTGGCTCTGTGTCTACCTGACTCTGCCAGGTCTGAGCTGGACACTGCCCAGCGTGTAGCACTGTGGACATGCTGTGGAACAAGACATGGGCAAGAAGGCATTGAAACTGACCCCTCTGCCCGAATGGCAGCCTCTTCCCAGCCCTGCAGGATGTCCCAGGAGGCAGGTGGGCACCTTCCCTGGAGAGTCTCCAAAGAACAGCACCCTCAGCACGGGGTGATGTGGGGGATGAGGAGGCACCAGCCATGGCTTTGCCCTGAGCTGGGGTGGGAAATTCCATGGTGTACCTTTGGCGTGAAAAAGGACAAATCAAGAGAGGAATTCTTGATGTGTACCTAGCAGTTACGTTGAGGACGTTGATTCTCCCTTAAACAAAAAAAAGTTGGCTGCCTTACTTCCCTGTCCTGCCTCCCTTTGCTGGGATGACTGCAATAACCTCCTCACTGGTCTCCCTGCCCCCACTAGCACCCTCTTAACACACCCTCCTACTGAATAGAGGTCCCATCATGCCTCTGACTGCCCTGATTAGACCTCTGTGTGAACTGCCCTCCTCCCTTAGGAGAACACCAAGTTCCTTGCCATGGCTCACACAGCCTGACCCTGCCCAGCTTTAGCATGTAGACCGCATCGAGCACCAGTTCTCCTCGCACCGCCTTACCATAGTCACACCGCCCTCTGCTTTCCCAGCACTCCTGCCACAGGGCCTTTGCACTGGCAGTTCCTGCAACCTGAAATGCTCTTCCCCTGGCTTTACTCTTCTAGGTCTGTCCCTATGTCACCACCCTTCCCTGATTATTCCATCTAATGTAGGTCTGCCTTCCTATCTCAGCACCCTATCTGTTCACTTTGTAGTAATTTATATTATACAATTTGTAATTCTGTACTTATCAGCTGGTTTCCTCATTTTTGTGTGGGTTTTCCCCACTAGACTGGAATCTCTGAGGGCAGGGGCCACACAGCATAAAGCCTGGTACATAGTAAGTCTTCATTATTTTTTCTAAGAAGTGAATGCATGGGAGGTGGCTGACAGAGGAAGTCTTAAAAGTTGAAGCTGACTTTGCCTATCTCTTATTGCACCCCCACTTGCAAACAGCAAACAGAGTCACCCTTCCCTAGGAGATGAGCTTGCAGCTGCCTGGGGGAAGTGGGAGGGTTCCCCGAAGTCCTTGGCTCTCCCTCCTCTCTTTTGGGAAAACTCTCGGCTGTGGCCCCTTTGGGCTATCTCTGTAGCTGCCTGTCCACGGATCATGGGTCAGTGGCTAGTGTTCACCACCTCCCACTCCCCACCAAGATCCCTGGGTTGCTGCAAAGCCCGACCCAGCCTAACCAATAACTGTGCCCATCAATGGAGGCAAAAGAGAGGAGTGAGGAAGAAAGAGGGGGTGGTGTGGGCCAGGGACTCAAATGGGGACAGCGAAGGGAAGCTGAGGAGGCAGGTCTCCCACACATTAGGGTGTCCCTGAAGCAAATGCAAATTGACTGAAAGCACCTTTTGAAAAAGCAGCTTTTATTGAGGGAGCTGCTGTAATCTCTAAATGGCTTTATGGCCGCCGAGGAGCTTCCTAATGGGGGAGGAGATGGGAAATGTGAACTCACCGTCTGCAACCGCCCCGCAGTGCCCTACCCTAGTCCCGGTGCCTTTAGATTCTAGACATGCTTCTTGTGGCTAATGAAACTCGCAGGTCTCTAACCTCTGCTTCCACATTCCACTGCCCTCCCCCACCCGGAGGCTGTGGAGCATGGACTCTGGGTTTGCAGGAGGCGGAGGCTGTTGGATGCTGCGTCTAGCTGGAGGATGCTAGATGTTGAGGGAATCTCGGGGACTGTAAGCAAACGAGTGTGGCTACAGTGATACGGCTCTGTAGGGTCCCTGGTATAACTGCATCTTGGCATGTAGAAAATCTCTGCCCGTGTGTAAAGCTGTGTGTGCGGTATGCACCAGCGGGTTTGTGTCCATTTACACACACCCCTGGGACCAAGCATCAGCATTTGTGTCTGTGCATCTGTGTGTCCGCCCCACATGTCTCCATCCATTTGTACTCCTCCTCAGGTTGTTGGGGGCTGCCTCAGCTGGGGAGTCATGCTTTTTCAAAGACTAATGATAAAAATCAGAATGATAATGCACTGATGACACATGGAGGTCCCTGGACTCTGGAGAGAAACCAGAGAAGAACAACTGGGGACAGAGTGGAGGCTGGCAATGTTTGGGGGCTCAAGGACCTTGTCTCTCAGAAAGCCTATTCAAGCTCTGTTCAGATTTTAGAGGGTAAGGGGCTGGGGGTAAAGGAGGCCCAGCGGGTGTTGGGAACATGTTATCAATATTCCCAGCCTGGCCTGCCTGCCTCTTCTGGAACGCTCCATTCCCTGCTTTGCTGACGCTCACCCTCCCAAAGCACTCACCTTGTCTATGGAGCTATGAGGGGTTAAGACTGGCTATTCCACTCTCCCAATCTCTGCCACTCTGGCCCTCACCCCAAACTAAGTCCTGCCCAGAGATGGAGCGAGGACTGCTCCTCTATATTGGATAACAGAGTTCTGAGCAGGACAGAGACACATAAATAGGCCTTGGAGCACCAAAAACTAGAAAGTTGCCCCTTGGACATGGAGCCTGTCAAGGCTAATTGATCTCAATGATCTCCCATAATGAATTTAGAGTTAGGTGAGTTGTTACTGGAAAAAAGGAGAGAAGAGTCCAGAAGCTTGCAGAACATCCACACTAGAGGGATCTGGATTACAAAGCAGGAACTCCTCTTATTGGTCAGAGCAGAATAGTTGCTACCCACCTCCTGAAGGCTTCAGATAGACTTCATGCAGACCTGGGCTTACAGCACACAGTGGCTCACCTCACACTGGAAAGCTCCTCCCCCACACTGAGAAGCAGCCACTTCTCCCCAAGCTGGAGCGCTCCACCCCCTTAGCACAACCTGGCACATAGTAAGTGTTCAGTAAATATTAGTTGTTGTGAATATTAGCATAATTGCCTGGTGGAAAGTCTCTGAGGGTGGTCCCTGCAGAGAGGGCTAACTAAGCCCCTAGGACCCTGGGAGTCAGGAGGGGCAGAGGCAGTGAGAAGCAGGCATGGTGCCAAGATGCTCAGCTGGAACTCCAAGGAGGCAGGGACCCTGGCCTGCACGGTGGCCTCTCCTTCCCCTGCCCCAGCTTCTCAGGGGCGTCCTCTCTCTGGGCTCTGCCTGGAATCCTCCCTCTGCCCCAGGCAGGCCCAGTGACCTTTCACTAAAGTCTGCAAATATATTCTTGGCGAGTGTTGGAAATGAAATTGTGCTCAACATTTGTATAGGGCTTTTCTGATGCCCAGCCTTTTACAGACATTAGCTAATTAAATGACGCAGGAGGGCCCAGCCTCCACAGCCAGGGACTCCAGGCCCTCCCGACCTGGGCAGCCCCAGTCTCATTCCTCCCTTCCGTTCCCTGCAAGGTTGCACTTACTTCAAGGAGGAATCAACCCCTGGGGAGTTGACCCCTGAGTCAGAAAGCAAAGAGAGGAGGGAGTCTGACAATATGTTGAGTAGGTAAGTGTCTTCCTGGGGTCATTCTGTCTCACTCCAGACCATATCCAGCAACTGGCTCAGTCTGAAACTGTACTTATGCATCTGCCATGAATGGGTCAACCATCATCTCCCTCTTTGAAGGACACGAGATCAGGCAGACAGTAACTAGAGCCAGGGCAGGTTGTCAAAGATCCTTCCCAGAGGGCTAGCGGGAGCAGGGCACACAGCGGTTTGGCCTGGTCTAGGGACAAGGCCAATCGCTCAGCCCATTTGGGAGTCACAAACCTGGACCGCAGCTTCTAGGTTGGAGAGAAGCACATAAACCTCTGCTCCCAGTGCTCTTCCTGGCCACGAAGGTTGGCGGGAAGCCAGCCCAGCATCAGTGGAATTTCTTGCATGGGCCACCCCCCATCTACTCCCCACCGTCATCAGACCCTGCCTGTGCCAGCAGCAAGTCAGTGAATGGAGCTGTTCTATAATGGGCAGTAAGTCAATTCCTACTCTGGGAGGAGACAAGGAAGGGAGGGGGATGGATAGATAGATAGATAGATAGATAGATAGATAGATAGATAGATAGATAGATTCAGGCCCAGGACTGAGAGTAAAGACCAGGAGAGAAACAGAGACCAGTTATAGAGCCTGACCTAAGGAAGAAATAAGCCATATTTCAGACTGAGACTACAGAAGAAAGGGAAGAAAGAAGACTAGGAGAGAGGGAGAAAGAACCAGCTCCACAGGTAAAAATGGTGTCAAGATTGGGGATTTGTTGGCACAACCAGGGACAGCCCAAAGAAAGAACCCCCCCAGGAGAGCTGAGAGAGCTTTCATATGCCCCTGGAAGGGGAGCCACACCTCTTCCTCTCCACCCCAAAGGACAGCATCAGAAGGTGCCCACTCAGATGCGCAGGCTTCTTCAAGAGGCAGGTGGTACACATTCTCCTTGATCCCATCACAGGGATTAGGAGCCTGGAGACATGGCCCCTCCTCATACTTCGAGTGTATCTCCCCATCCCCACCAACCTGCCCAGCCCACCCTGATCTCACCAGTGTGCCTAGTGCTGATTGGGGAGTTAGCAATTCTGGAGGTCCCACCAAGTCCAGCAGAGCAAGGCCTGACCTCCCCTCACCATAGTTACCTGTCTCATAAAAAAATAGGCATTGAACTTCATAAAATGAATTAAGACTTCTGAGCCAGGGCACAGGAGCAGCAAGCAGGAGTCCAGGGAGCTCAAGACAATGGAGCCAACTCCAAGGGCAGAGCAGTACCTGACAGCTCCCTCTTCTCGGGCCCAGCCCCCAAAGCTGCAAAGCTCCTGCAGATGCCACAGGAGACGAGGAGATCAGACCCATGGAAGGAATGGCTGGCTGGCTGGCAGGGGCAGTGAGCACCGGGATGGTTTCTTCCCTTTTGTGACTGCAGCCTAACAGAGTCTGGTTTCTCTCTCCATAGCCCTTTCTCGTCCCAGAAAACCTCAAGAGCTTCCCATCAAGTTACCAAGGTAACTGCAGCCCAGCAAGATTCACAGTGATGAGGGAAAGAAAGCAGAGACTGATAGCAGCCCCAGGACAGGCTGCCAGGGTGGAGGCACACATCTCAGGGTAAGCAGGGACGCAGAGGCTTCGGGCCAGAGCGAACATCCCCTGCCTCCCTGTCCAGCCTGTTCCAGGATCTGTTTTCCTGAAGTTTGCAGGTTTATACAGCCCAGGTAGGTGAGAAGACAGCATCAAAGCTCCCCTCACTGTCAGGTGGGGATGACGGGGTGCTTTTCCACAGTTTCCCAGAATGGCAGATGTCATGGCTACTGTTCTAGAGACCTTGAAAGGTAATGGGGTCCCACCCATGGGCCCCCTGTTTTTTTGGTTTGTTTTTGTTTTTTTTATCATTTTAAATTTTTATTTACTATTTTGTTTGTTTGTTTGTTTACGGGCCCCCTGCTTTTAAAAGCCAGTGGACCTCTCTTCCATAACCACCCGCTCTCTCCATGATGGCCCCTTGGGAGGCAGTTGCTAAGGGATCATGAACACAGGCTGCTTTGGAATCAGACAAGTGGGTTTGGCTCTTGCTTGGTCACTTTCTAAGACTGTGTGGCCTTGGGCAAGTCACTTCTCTCTCTGCCTCAGTTGCCTTAGTTGAAAATGGGGATAATATAATAAATTCCCAGGACTTAATAATATCATATATATATTGTGATTGCTCAGGGCCTGGCACTAGATCAGGTTAAAAAAAAATTAAAGCTGTTAAAATTTTATCATTATTATCACGATTTTAATTGTTATTGTCATTAAGTGTGTACCTCAGTTTATTCATCTGTAAAACAGGGATCGTGGTTTAATGGGTTGTTTAAAGATTATACAAGATAAAGCATGTGAAATGCTTAGACCAACCCCTTACCTGTAGGAAGTGCTCATAATAGGAGCTGTTATTATTATGATTTCTACATCCCCCTTCTCATCACAGGCCGTCAGATTCCATACCAAGGAACCATCACTGAGTTAGTCCAAACTCCTAGCTCCCTAAGCAGGCAGGGCCATGGAAAGGAGGCTCCTGGGATCGTAGTGGCTGGGTGGGTGAGGAGTGGTCATTGCTAATGGCTGTGCTAGTGAACTTCCAACTCACTTCTGGACCAGGAATGAGCCTGTGGCTTCTGCCCTCCCCCTCGCTTCCATCTCAGGAGGCTGAGGTTCCCTAGGTAGGATGATGTCCCGCTAACGCCCAGCATACTGGAGAAAAGGGGTAAACAGTCATTTAGAATGGAAAAAGGTTTTGTCCCTACACAGAGGATCAGATGCCAGGCTGGGGTAGGGGACACAAGAGAATAGATGAGAGGGCCATGTAGGGGGGGCCACAATGCCTCTTAAAAGTTCCTGTCTTTCCTTGGTCCAGCTGAGCCCTCATTTTCAAAAGGAGACCTCAGATATGACTGAGCAACTGCAGATGCTCCAAACCCTCACCATTTTCCTCCCTGAAACACCAACCCTCCTCCAGGGCCGGCACACTTGACCTTTGAGACCCATGAATAGCCTGATCTGGGATGCAGTCATCTTCAGCCCTTTCCACACATCTGTGCCTCACTGGTTCAGTCGCACCCGAATTGCACAGGTGGGTGTCCCAGGGGTCTCCAGGGTGTGCCACAGGCTAAAGAGTGGGCTAAAACTGCAGCTGGAAGAACTCAGGTGAAACATCCTGAAAGAGCTGGGAGACACACGGAAATGGCTATGCCTATAGCTACAGAATTTGCATGTCTGAAGATTTTCAGTCAGAAAAGACCCCAGCCCTAACCTCTGCTGCTCTAGACACCTTGAAAGGTAATGACTCAGTGGGGGGTGGGCTGGGGTCAGGGCCCTGAAGACACTGAGGAAGGTGAGTCAGTTCTCATGCCAGGCCTGGCTGGGGCCCCCAACGCTGGCCTTATATTCCCTTCCCTTATGCCCCGCTCCTCCATGGCCTGGAAGACCTGCTGCCTTCATGTTCCCAGTAACCCCGGGGCCCTGCAGAGCTGGACTTCAGAGAGAACCAGTGACTCTAGGTTTGGATGTCAGAAACCAGACCCGAGGAGGACTTAGACATGTCCTCCCCCAGAATAAAATCAGAAATTTGGGCCTGTGTCCTGCTGGCAACAAAGCCTTATCTCTAGCCCACAGAGCCATCTTCCCCACCAGGCACCCTGCCCTGGACTCTCCCATCCTTTGGACAGAGAGAACTTGGAGGTGCTAGAGCCAAAGGCCAGGCTTTTCTTTTGGGCTGTCTAACTGGATACAGGCATCTTATCCACCCTGTGCCCAGAAATCAATGCCCACACAGGCTCTGTTACTGGAAAGGAGGAATTCCTGAGGGTCAGTGGCTTTAGGAGGACTGGGTGGGGGATGAGGAAGTCTGAGGGAGACAGCTGGAAAGGAAACAGGAGTGGGGCCTTGGACGCAGCTGCTGCCCAGAAAGCCCTGGCTGTGTCAGATACAGGTCAGGAAAGTACCACACACCACCGACCTGCTCAGCACGCCATGCCTCACCCCACCCCCATCTGACTCTCCGACAGGTCCAGGAACAGTCGTAGAGGACTGCGTTAGATCGGGGAGAAAGAAAAGCTGCCCCTCGCCCCAATCATGAAGAACTTAGTGGGCAGGGCATGGGCAATAGCAGCACAAGTTAAACTGGAAGTCATTCTGAAGAAAATTCAGCTCCCTAAAGACAGCCAAACCAGGGTCAGCTGCTGGGGACTGGCAAAGGTCCCCAAACTGGGACCCATCTGGCATTGGCCATGGAGCCGGGATGGAGACCTGCCATACTAGCTGATCTCCCAGAGGCAGAAGTCAGGTTCCTTCCAGCCCGAGGAACCTCAGGGACAAGTCAGAAAAGCCAGTTTTCTCTCAGGTCTCTGTCCCTGCCTGCTAGAAAGAGTGCTTTCAGCTCTCAAAGGGTCTGCCCTCCTCGCCCTCAGATTGACAAGCAGACAGACAAAATTTCCAGTGTCCTCAGAGTCCAGGCTGAAGCCCGCAGCCCAGAATCCTCTCCTGGGATGACTCAGGAGTGCCCCCTGCTGTCTGGTTTCGCTGAAGCCAGCCGTGGGGTGAAGAAAGGAAGGAGCGTTCAAGCAGATTCTAGTTGCCCCAGCAAAAGGGGGCACGCTTTACACACTGCCAGAGCCTGAATCAGACCTGGGCTTCCCCAGGGGTCACCGAGGAGGAGACTGTCTAGAGAGCAGTCCATCTGGGAGGAGGACAACCCATGAGGACCCTGCAGCCTGCCCTCTGGGCACACGCCCAGAGCTCTGATGAGGGCTATCCAGTCTGCATACGTCCCTGGCTGCAGGAGAAAGTTATATTCTGAAAGCAAAATCAGCTGCCTCTTCTAAGCCTCGAGAGAAGAGGCTGTTCCACAGACAGTGAATTATCTCAGTCAGTGTGTAGTGTGGGGGGGGTCTGCCAGCCTTGTGAGCACAGGAGACACTCCACTTCTCCCCAGCCATTCCCCCAGGTGCCAGTGGGACACATCCAAAAGTACCATTGATGATACAGATTACAACAGACAATAATAGCTGTTTCCAAAAGGACCTCTGGCTCCCTGTCTGTAGGTCCGTCGGGTCTCTTTAGCGCCAACATTCTATGAGCCTATAGGATTCCACAGCCCACTCCCAGGGGCTGGCTTCTCTCCTGACCAACCACTACTCCCCACTCCTAGTTCCTTCTTTCATCTGATTGAAATCCATCTAGTTGCATCCTGAAGAATGGCAGCTAGTAGAAAGGGTCTTTGTCCAACACTTCCCGTTTTCAAGATCAGAGAGAGAGAGAGAGAGAGAGAGAGAGAGAAGAGACAGGACACTGAGAAACCAAGGGAAGAGGAAGAAGCAAGAATAAGGAGTAGAGAGATGACCAAATAAAATCCAACTAAATAGCTGAGAAAAACATCTGACCAGATGGAGAGGTGGGGAACCAGCTTCCGCATAGTCTCTAGTCATTCTCCCTCTAATCATTTCATAGCTGTATCTCTGTGCTCACACTACATGTAGGAGTGAGTGCATGTGCACGCGCGCACACACACACACACACACACACACACACACACACACACACACACACTTAGATTGTGGGGAAAGCCTGATTATGTGTGGCCTTGTTAGGAGCAGCAGTCCTCTCTTCACCCAGGGAGTTCTGTCCCCCACCTGCCTAATTCTCTTCCCTGTTCATATGGAAGGCAAGAGAGCTAGCCCTCTTCTCTCCAGAGCACCACCCCATCAAACACCCCCACCTTCCCCCTTTCATCACTGCCAACAACAGCTGCAAAAATAGCCCTTTTCACCCTGAGCGGTGGCCTGCAGGGGGTATGCCTGCTTCCCAGGGCCAGAGACAGCTTGGGGGTGGGGTCAGCAGCACTCCCAGCGATGCCAATACCCTCTGCCTCCCTTCCCTCCATAACTAAAGAACAAACGGGAAAGCCCTCCCAGCCAATCCCTAAAGCTACTCTGCAGTCACCTCAGCTTCCCAAAATCCCTACCCAGCTGCTCCTAGCCCTGCCCTCCCAATGTAGCCTATATTCCTCAGACCTTGAGAGTCACTCCAGGATATCTCACCCTGAAAGACAAATCTGCTCTTGGAATGTAAGGAGACAGTGATGAATTCACCCACACACTAGCAACCTACTTCCATTAACTCCTATGTCCAAATAATTTCTTTAAAACACCAAGGATGAGGTTGGGGGAGGGGAAGGCAAGTCTGGGACATCAATCTTCAGTGGGGATTCCTCCTTCAAACCTGGCCAGGTCTGGCTGGGCAGGAGAAAAACCCTGCACACCGGTACTCTGGGGGCTTCTGGGACAAAGCAATGGAAATGAGACCTCACCTGCTCATCTCTACCTGGCGGCAGCCTCATAGTGCCTCCTCTGACCTAAGTTATTTTCCACCCAACCTCCTCTCTTGGGTCTTGGATAAACAACAGAGATATGGGCTTACACACCCCTTCCTGGGGGTTTCAAGGCTCTGACTGCTCCTGGGCAGGTGGGGCTGCTTTGTGGGGGCCTCCTGTCCCTTCAGCCAGGCAAGAGCAGCTCCTATGTGACCAGCATCCAAGGGGTCCCAGAGGGAGAGGGCATGAGAAGGAAAACTAAGATCTGTACTGCAGTTCCAGGGTTACTCATTCCTTCTCAGATTACCCTACTTGACACGCTCATTTTACAGATGAGGAAGTGGAGAAAGAGGGGTCAACTTGGATTGGACCTGCTCACAGCTACCAACTAGAAAAGGGACAGATCTGCATCAGGCACAGGTCTTCTACCTCTATAGTCTCCTTCAGGGAGGTCATGTTCTGGTAG